GGAGTGTTGTGGCTAAAAATAGCCCCAGGAATCTGGAAGAGTGACGTTCCATATCTTTTTTTGCGAAATTTTTCGTTACAGCTGCTGACAGATATTGACCAGAACTCGTTGAGTGTGAAGGACCGAATCAAATGGCGAGAGCAGCTGGAATATCATTCATCTCGAAAGAAGAGAGTTCGATTCAGAAGTTCGTGGCTTAACATGCTCTCAGTAATGCCATGAAGTTGATTTTGTAGCGCGGAAGGGATTTCAGGAAAAAGGCTCTGCCAGTCGTTAATGGGGGATTCCACGATAAGAACGAAGGTCAAAGAAGGGAAAATTGCCTAGTTGGGAGACAGGCAGACCTCCTGACGCGCAATTGGCAGCGAAAGATTTGACCTCGGCGATCTAGCATGGCTCACTCTTGGCGCAGTTGGCGCGGTACGCCCACCGACATAGCAGAGGAGAGACGTTAGAGTTGAAGAGGCATGATGAGAGTCACACCAGTGCGGAAATAATGGGGAAGAAAGGGGTCCAGATTTTCGAGTTTTGGGCCATTTTTCTCAATTCTTTCCCTTTCGTGCATTACTGAACCACCTCCAGGTTGATTTGCAATAGACCTCTTTATCGTAAAATCTACCCTTAAATAAGGCAAGCATATTCAAGTGAATCTGGGAATCGTTCATCGACTAGTGATGCCACCTTTAACTGTGTCGCTTCAAGGCTTGTATTCTTTTCTTGCATCCAAGCTGACGGGGGTAAACAAAAATGACGGTGTTGACCATCCTGGCGCCGTGCTATCGCTCGCCTTTTTCTTTAAAACTGAGGGCCTAAATGAGTGTCCCTTCAAAAACCAGTGGTCCGCTTTGCACGTTTCTTCTTCTGTACTAATCCGATACCTGTTACCCATCCCTGATGAGATGGACGACGTGATTTGGGAATGCGGGTTCCAGTTTTGTGAAGGAGCGAGGCTCCATCTTCAACTCTTGAATTCTTCCTCTATATTTTTCCTGCTAGACAAACTGAATCGGAAATTTATCATGGATCGCATTTGTTTGCTGCTTTTTTAGATTTTGAAGATCCTGAAAATAAATGCCGGTTCTATACTCGACCGACTGATGGAGATGGTCGTGACATGGCGACGGCGCAGAATCAACTCAAAGATGCCAGCCCTGCGCTTTATACGTGGTTCGTTTGCTGATTTCCTCATTGTGCTGCTCAACGCTGTACTCTGCTGTGTTCACGTGGCAGGTTCAAATCGTCAAATCCTTCTATGACAACGAGGCACTATAGGGTATCACGCTTTGCAGCTCGCGTGGGACTCGTGAATGCTAGTGTGTGCACACCCGTTATTCATTTTTCCACACGTGTAAATCTTTCGAATTGTTATATTTGTTGTCTATGACTATGCCAACTAATGTAAGGTTGCAAACGCAATTGGTTTAAAAGTAAATAATAGGCTGGCGTGTCAGTCTTAGATTTTAATTTTCTGCTTTTAATTGGTTATTCAGCACACGTTCAGTGCACTGCCTATGGTTGTCAGAAGCGGATACGCACAAGCTATCGTCAGGGCTTATTGTCAATGCAAGCTCTTCATCGAGGAATGTTTCAGTATGAAATATGTCGTGAATTTTGCGGTGTTGAATAGGTTTGAAATGTGTGGGACCTCAGAGATATATCGGAATGTACCAAAACGCCACACAAAAACAGAAATTGTATGGGATGAACTCCAAACTCGTTGGTTATCGCTTGCATCCTTCTAAGGGCTGAATACAAATCTTGAGTAATTAGATTATATTTCAAATATACACCCTGACCAAACTTCTGCTTTTGTAGTCTCCAATCAAAGGAGCGCGGATTGTGCAGAAAAAAGGGTAATCCTGAAATCGTTCAGTATTTGCGTTCATAGTCGATGATCCAGAAGCTCGATCCGCTATCGCGATTCGCTCTTCCGAATTGCTGACTACTGAGCGCGACCTAATGTTTCGTTCCAGGACTGCTCACTGTATCGTGGGCAGGAAATAATTCGAAGGGTTATGGTGAGTATTTAGGTTCTGATTGAAAATTCCTTTAATTAATTTACAATATCAAAGTTATTTTCCTCAGAGCCGATATGTACCTCGGCGGGCCATCGAATTTCATAACAGAAGGTGTTCTGGCGATAAATATGGCGACAGAAGTGGAGGTCTACAAAATAGCGACTTATAAACTTCTTGTAAGTCTGGAATTTGCTTTCATTGCTTTCTTTGTTTTCCATCTGTGTGATTTCGTGGTACCGAATAGGACAGATTGTTGCCCTTTATGCTTGAAATTTCATAATCTTATGGTTAGTCCACGATGAAATCAGGTGGGGCATTCCTATTCGTGTGTGGGACAGAATTATCCACGCTGATATACGTAGCATGCACCGTTCGCGATTCCGATGGCGCGGTAAGGGCCTCAGTGTCTTATCATCGTCGGATATCTGGGTTGTTGCTCTTCATGCAAATGAAGAGTGTCTGCGTCTCGTCCGTCCGTTGTGCTATATCGTCTCTGAGCGTGTTCCCTCAAATGGGCGCACAGCGTTGCAAATTTCTCGTAGACTATCTGTCTGGTAGAGCTGTGTGGGGTGCTGAATTACTCTAGCTGTTGTGAGCGCGATTCTGAAGGGAGTTTTTGCAATAGGCCAGATGAATTCTTGCCTCTGCATGCGAATTCAACCCTCTCGTAAGCTTATGCTTGCACCGATTGCTGCTGATAGATGAGAGGGGCGTGTTTTAGATTCTTCCTGAACCTCACCAAAGGGTCCTTTCGACCCCATGGTATCGCCCTTTGACTGATAGGCGAGACGAGGGAAATCATGGGGGAATAAAAAAGCACCGACAACAATTGAAATTGTAGTGGAAGCGCGTGGTGTGAAAAATGTGATAAAACGCCTTCTAGCAAGATCTCATCTGAACGCCTGCTTCCTTCTATTCCTCTGTGAGTAGGTGTATTCAGTGGTGTCGCGTAATATAGGGGAAATGTACCCGTCTTTTCCCGAGACCGCCCTCCAGGCCTCGCTCCCGGTGCGACGATCGGGTTCCGGATCCCCTTTTTTAACTAGAGGGTGCCTGTAAAAGCGGGTCATCCCGGGGTCCGTGCGGTTTTCTCCCACGACACTTCGCCGCTCCTCGAGTCATCTACACAACATAATCATAAGCATACACTAACATCAGATACATTCAGCGGCTTGCTTTGCTTTCTTCATTGCCTGTGGACCTGGATAGCATTTCCATTCCATTTTTTGACCACTGCAGATTTTCAGGGCCGAAGGGGTGAAGCATTTGATAGAGTGGAAAAATCGTAAGTTACCCAAACATCTATGGTTCCAATTTCAGACATCCAGCGAATTTTCTTCGAACCGATATTCGAGAAGCAAAAGTTGCAAATGGAGTACATTTACCAGTTGCACCTGGGAAAAGGTCGTTACAGTTGCTACAGTTGGTACGCTTCTATCACAGCAGTTTCTTTCGTAAATTTTTTGTAGGCTGGGAAACAGCTAACGATTTTTTTAAGATGTTCTCGAAAATTTCAGACAACTGAAAGACGGGCGTACACACTGACACGTTTCCGGGCGAACATGCATTATTCTTTTCGTGAGAATCGATCCGGCATTAGCGCTGTTCGTCACACTGATCCACCAGTGATGGTTGCGGGTTAGTGTTTTACTATTCCCATGGATAAAAACTCGCGTTCGTCTAAAATTCCATTAAAAAACAATGAGGCAGATAAAATGCTTTCTGCATCAAAGGAAAGTGTGAATTTGATTGTATTGCGCTGAAAACTTAGCAGATACAATCACAGATCGCGCGGACAATACTGAACCTGATAACACCCCGCCCCAAACGTGGTAATAAAATTCTGCGTTGTCATATCGTTATCATTAGAGTTTTGTTGTCAAATTCGAAAGCCTTTTGCATCTAATGGCTGTACCCTGTAATCGTGCTATCCATTATATTCCGTCAGAACAATCATCAAATCTAACCTCTAACCGTAAACTCGTCCAAAGTCAAAGGGCCAAGTAGGGGTAGCAGCTCCAGGATTTTATGGCTTTAATCAGGATTTCTCTTCATTGCAGCATCGTTTGCGGCGTCTGTTTTTATTTGATCACCATCAGATCATCTTTCATTGCCTTCAAGGAAGTGGAAATCTCTAGGACATATGCTGAAACCTAGCCTTGTCGGAAATCGCTCTAAAATGAACAAAGCGCATTCCTTTTTGAACAAATAATGGACGCTGCTTAGAACATTTTTTCAGGAATCCTCTTTTTGAGTGATACCATGCTACAAGTGGTAGCTCCGGAGAAGCTGACCAATGTGCTTTTGGAGTGTTTTGAGCCGACTCAGGGTGTCGAGTAAGTTTGTTCCAGAATCTAAAGGGTGAATGCTTGTGGCGAAACTCAAGAAATAAAGTGGCTGCAAAAGTTTTTCAGCGAGTTCGAGGCAGGAACATAAGAAGCGAATGAAATTTTGCTAAGAATCCTTTCCTTTGATCTTTGTTTTGACTGATGGGCAGGTATCAGGTAAACCAAGTGTTGCTTGATCACGGGGAAAGGAAGTCACAACAATGGAACGGCTGTAAATTTCAGCAAATCATCTGGAGAAAGCAGCGCAATTATCATAGAGTGGAAGGGGGAGGATTAGCGGCAGCGAAGTTGCCCTGGAAATAACGAAACTCACCACAACTACCATCCACAGTCTCGGTTTCACTGACTTCTACAACTTACCAAGGAGATCTTTCAGTTCGTGCCCACTTTTCCATAACTTTGTTTTGCATTATTTAGGAACTTGTGCATTGGACATGCTACTATGTTCTATTTTTCTTGATGGCCTCTGAAAGGCAAATGAGGTATTAAGGATTGGTTCATGGTTCGATCTCCCATAGTCACAAGTTTTGCATTTTCGATTGATGCTTGCATGATGTCGCAAAATGGTGCCTACGGCTGGTAATGAATGCCAGATTACCATCTGACTATTAGTAAGATGAGTTGGCTATATGAGTATGTGTTTGCCAAAAAGATGTGGCGCTTGAGGTTTTTACCCTCTTTTGGCATAATAGAGTCGCTCAGAACGACTAGGCCATAGTTCCGTGTTCCATGCCCTACATCATGCAAAGAATCGTTTTTAAAAACCAGGGCACGATCTGAATCTCCTTGTAGTGCTTCGCACTCAGGTTGTTCGAAGCTTGAAGGGATTAGAGAATGTTGGAGCTGAAGGAGTATCATATACAATTTTATTTATTCCGCTGCACTTCCTACGCTTACTGAACGGCAATCTTCATGTTCTATGGAAGAACAGGCGTGAGGTATTTTGGATTGGCTAAGGCCCGTAAATCTGTCTAGAGTACCTGCGTTCAAATGCCTCCCTCCACGCCCTTGGTTGTAAGTCGAACACGTGGCGCGTCTTCGAAAAAGATTGCAAAGATCTTTCTCATACTCGATATCATTGATTTTTAGAGATATGATAGCCGTCCTCGATCGTTGCACATATGAAGAGCTGAACTTTCGACATTGTGTTCTGGCTTGGGGTCACGATCTGATCACCTACCTCAAGAATAGCGCGATAGATGCTGCCGGTAAAGCTATCGCGTGAGGATTTGTTTTGCTTATATTGTATTTTGTAGGTTCCAGGGAGTATTATATTCTAGCTATATTAATGAAATAATATAAGCGATTTCTTATTATGGTGATGTTTATATTGGGTTGTCCAGAAAATCCTGCGACACATTACCCGAGATTTTTGACTGTACCTTTTTTTGTTGAATGGGATATTCAATCAGCACGGTTATCACCGTAGGAGACGTGTACTTTTTCTGGGCAACTTCTTAACCCTCTTGTTTAAAAGTATTGTCGTTTGCTTCGAAAGAAGCGCTTCATCCAATTTTCGAGGTGACCTCAATCATTGGATTTTTTCTCTTCGAGGTAGCGCTTCAGTGTACTAATTACGCAATATTTAGAAACGACTAAGTCAGGCGAGTAAGCCAAGCACTGCAGAATTTCCCGATCAAAATCCACGATCTCCTCATGTGTAATCCTTCGCCACACACAGATACGGTTAGGGTGGGCGAGAACAGCGTTATCTGAGAATTCATGCGTGTTTGAGACGCATTGCTCCGACCGAACTTCCAAGGTTTGTTGAAAGAAAATGGCCGATACCTAGATGCAAGGCATCCAGCAGCTTTCTGATAGGCGAAATCAGTTTGCAACCTCATAGGGGAATAAAGGTCTTTGAACGAGGCCCTTTCGTTCCTGTGGGGCGGTAGCTTCTTTGTCGAATCAGTAGTCTCTGTTTAATAGTTTAGTCAAGGCCTAGAAGCTTATTTAAGAGCATCATTTTTTGTCAAAAGAGTTCTTTGATGCGAAAGAAGAAGAGAAATCTAAATTATGGTCACAGGGCTCGCCTCCCCAGACTGGCACAACCCATATGGTGTCAGTGGCGAACAAGTGATCTACAATGCGAGATCGCGCAGATCTTTGATAATTGTCTAATGAATGCATCTAAGCGTGGTTGATAACCTACGACTGGTAGCAGTCGGCTGTGCCTCTAGGAAGATGAGTAAGCGCTCTGTCAGTCATCGTCTACTGCCGTCCAGCTCCGTGCCCCATTTCGAACAAAATATCTCCAGTTGCGAGGGAACAAGGCCAACGGGACACCATGGCCTAGTGAATGACATCCCTCCTGACTACAGCACAGATGCTAGCTGCAAGGACACAAACGGGGTGGCTTTACAGGAGCTCGAAAAATAAAATAGGTCAAAAGATGTGTTGATTCAGAGACAAGTTTGAAACAGTTAAACGCCGCACGTAGCCTCCATTTACGCTTCTGCCTGCCGAAACCTCCGAAGATACACTGCAGCAATCAAATACCAAAACTACTGGAAAGAGTTTTGGTCTTTTCCTAAAGAACTTTGTTTAAAGTGTCGCAGGATTTTCTGGACAACCCAATACGTATAGATGTACTATACTGGAAAATTGTTATAGTGCTCTGATTCATTTACGAGCGACGCTGGAAAATAAGAGGGAAGCCTACGAACGTGAGGGCTATCGTCGAAGGAAATCGCCGCAGTTCTGGATATTGACGATCCCTGAGGTAAACTTTGCGAAAGTAGTCAGAGAGTAGTATCCAAAACACAACATTTTTGCAAAAGTCAAGCCTGCCGTACATATTTCGATGTATTTTACGTTGGGGGTGGCGTGAGTTAGTTCTTGGGTTTTTTATATCTGGGTGATATATGTACCAGTTTCAGTATTACGCCGTGGATGGGCTTTTTGATTAAAGGCAAATCCCGGGATTAAACTGGTGCTAGAGCGCTTCGTAGTGATAGCTTAGCTGCGGAACGACCTGAAAGTGGAAGGAAAGCAAGAGAAAACTCTTTGGGAACGCTGAAATTAAGGCCTTAACCTTCAATAAGGTCGGATGTGGTACGATGGCGAGACAGGGCGATCAAAGAAGACAAAATACGCGAGAGAGCACGTCGTTTGAGAGAGCACGCTGATCTCTACATCAATGCACGCTGATCTCACCATCTCTCGCGGTGGGTGGGAAGCGTTGCAACGGGGTCGATGGTTGCAGGCCCGTAAGGATTAGCGCCCTAACCGCGCAATTTTTGCGACGAAGCTGGAGTGATCTAGGTAGGTACGGACCTTACAATTTCCCTCGCGGTATCCTTCCTACTAGTCGGGCTAATCCCGGGGTTTGCCTTTAAGTCCGTGGTTCAGTCTTTATTATTTTTCCCTTTGATTTTTTCTTGGTCATTGCTTCTTCAAACACTGTTACTTTATATTCGCACCCTGCACGTGCTTCAAATAAATAGGATAATAAATATTGTTTAGATTGGTGAATACGTTCAACACTTCAAAATATTCAACAAGATCATCCGTACTCTCTTTATGAATCAGTGAGTT